GCCAAGAGACATGTGAAGAAATGCTCAACATCACTAATCATCACAGAGATGCAAACTAAAACAACGAGGTATCACCTCACAACTGTCAGAATGGCCGCCATCAACAAATCAACAAACAAGTGTTGGCGAGGGTGTGGAGAAAAGGGGACTCTAGTACACTGCTGGTGGGAATGCAGACTGGTGCAGCCACTATGGAAAACACTATGGTGTTAACCTCAAAAAAAAAAAAAACAATTAAAAATTGAATTGCCATTTGACCCAGTGATCCCACTTCTAGGAATATACCCTAAGAAGCCTGAAACATGAATCAGAAAAAATATATGTACCCCCCATGTTCATAGCAGCACTATTTACAATAGCTAAGATCTGGAAACAGCCCAAGTGTCCATCAGTAGACAAATGGATAAAAAAACTGTGGTACATATACAAAATGGAGTACTATGCAGCTGTAAGAAAGAAAGGTCTCTTATCCTTTGAGATGACATGGAGGGACCTGGAAAGTATTATCCTAAGTGAAACAAGTCAAGCAGAAAAAGACAAATACCACATGATCTTACTTATTTGTGGAATATAATGATCATAACAGTCTGAGGAATAGGGTAGACGCAGAGACGTGGAAGTAGGGTACAGACTGACAACCCTCAGAAGAGGGGGTGGGGGGGGAGGGAAGAGATAAACCACAAAACTTATATGCATGTGTGCATAACCAATGGACATGGACAACAAAGCTGGGGGCAGGGTGGGGGGATGGGGAGGAGGGTGTCAATGCGGTAAAAAAGGAGAAACATCTGTAACAAAAATAAAATAAATAAATATTGAAAAAAAAAAAAGATAGAACCCAACATATATCATTGGTTTAATATCTGTAGACCTTGATTTGAAGTTTGTTAATATCATCACGAATGACAAAGACACAGCCTGGAAACGGTAAAGAACTTCAGCAATTGCTCTTCTTGGGGAAAGAACTATTTAGAGATAAGATTAAAATTGTGTGGGCTGATTAGCTAAACATTATCTGGTACACCTTGAAAGAAATTTATAAACACATCATTAACTCATTAAGATTTCTTCATAAGGGACCTCTTATCAGAAGGCCATCTGAACGATGATGAAATATGAAAAATAGCCAGGAAAGGGTAGACAGGAGTAGAGAATTGGGGAAACTACCCTTAATACAGGAAGAGCTATACCCAGGAGAAAGACTTGGCACTTTGGAGTTTTGCCTTGTGTAACTCAACAACATAACCAAGTGGGGCTATAATCTGAAACACGAATTTTCTCTTAATTCTTAGCTAGGGCTGCCCAACCCACAAGCTCCCTGGTTTTAGGGTCTTGTATGAAGACTTCTTCAAAGGTGGTAGACTGCTCGCACAAGGCGGAACCTTGTGTCTTCCTTGGAAGTGCTTTAGTGTGAGTTTATACAAAACATATGTGCCTTGCACATAGGAGGAGCTCAAGAAATGTATTAATGAAAATGACAGGTTGTGTAAGGGGTTCTGTGTCAGGGACTTGACAGCTTTCCAAACTTACAATGATGGAAACTACAGGGAAGGGAAAACTTATCCAGATGTCTTGGGCTGAGTTTGAACTTGCTTAGCGGCTGGTCCCGCCCAGGTACACACAGGCTGGCACTCCCTGTGGGGCATCATTACTTCCTAGTCACAAGATAGATTAAATTGCAAGACCCGTGAGCATGGGGTGACTACAGAAACAGCTTCTGGGTCTAGAGTGGACACTGAATGAAGTGAAACCCTCGGTGATCCCTCAGTGCTGTAACCTGGGGCACTTCTCATATCAGCTTTTGAGTAGCTAATTTTAGCCAAAAGGGTAAAATAAATAATATCAGGGACTCAGAAAGGAATCAATGGCTTAAACAAATTCTGATTCACACTCTTGGTGAAATGGCATATAGCTAGTTTTATAGATCCCTATTTTCAAATCCTATAAGTGTTCCCCCTCTGCATGGAATTAGCAGCTAGACTTGAAAACAACCAACTTCAATAAACAGCCAACGAGCCATGGCCCCTCTGACTCATTATTACTTCTCTTACGTTTGTAAAATGCTACTCCTTTTCTCGCTGGGAAAACCTTAAGTCAGCTACCAGGCCCCAACGTTTAAAACTTTTTCTTTCTTTATCCCAACATGGAGTAATATAAAACGATACAAGTATTTACAAAGTTGTAAAGCCCACAGGAGATAGCGCCTAGCAACTGCACATGAGAACTGAGTAGGAGGAAAAATGAGAGGCTTGGGTTCGTTCATTCATTCATTGGCTATCAAATGCCACTGGTCATAATAAAGTACATCAACCCTCTCTCTCTCTCCCAAAGCCTCACAGATCAGTGGAAGAGGTTTACCCCTGTGGGCTCCAGGGGAATGAGAGAGGCGGCCAGGGCCCTGGCCTGTTGATGAAGGCTGTATCCTATTTGAAATACTGCTTCTGGTTGGCTGGGTGTACCTGTGGATCGGTGTGAGAGAAACACGAGAAAAGACGACTAACAAAAGAAGGCTTCCGAAAATATCTCTGACCGCAAAACAGTAATTTTATAAGAAAAATGGTTGAATAGAAGATACTTTGGCCTCGTTGGTTTTGAAGGTCTTTTCAACCCTGAGGACTGTTGATTTGCTGAGTTAGAAATACTCAATAATTGCGTTTAGTTCAGCAGACATGTATGGGCTCTTACCAGGTGCTGAGTCACTGGGGATAGAAAGATAAGATAACCTGTTCTTATAAGTATGTATCAGATACCTTCATCTCGATTAGAAATTGCAAACATGATCTCCAGAGGAGTGAACGACCTCACCAGAAATAGGATAATTATCAAAGGGAAATAATAATATGGCCCAGTGTTAAGTCCCTTCGTCTACCCCAGCGGTCACAAGTGTGTTCAAAATGTCCATTCACAGATCATGCACAGTAATGAAGTGTGTTTCTCACAATGGTCCAGTTAGCAGTGGCCATTCATCTAAATGACACTTTTCAGGTGGGACTGAATCCATCTATCTGCTTATTCCAACAGCCCCTATCACCAGACTATCTCAGATCTCAAGGTCTTGAGATTTCTGGTAGCTGCAGCTTCAAGTGCCAACAAACAACCACCTTCAGGGTCAGGGAATAAAGCAGAGGTTCACATTTTATTTGGCTTTTAGATGTTGAGATAAGCTCTGGTTGGTTATCTTTGTCATGACAGGGAACATTATCCAGGCAGATTGCAAAATTCCTTACAGGTCATTCTTTCAGAGTGATAAGATTAAAAAGAGGATGAGTATTATTTCACTGTGAAGACTATGGCTACTAAAACAATGAAATTCTTCCTCTCCTCTTCTGTCTCTATACGTAGGTATATATACCTTTGGCTTTTGCTGTAGGAGGGCCTACATATGAAGCTATAAGTTCTTTTTCCTGCTAAAATCCTGCTAGAAACTAACCAAGTGGGGCGGGGAGTCAAAGATTAAAAGTGAGTGTGTGTGTGTGTGTGTGTGTTTGTGTATGTAAGATCTCGATCAATCACCCAGTCCTTTATTCTGCAATATAGAACAAGAGCCGCTTATACTCCAAACTTCAGGGGAGATTTTTAACTCCCCAGTCATTGGCCTAACTCGAGTGCACAGGGCCGAGACGTGCGAGAGGCAGGCTAACAGCCAGGGCACTTATCTGTTCTACTAACGCTCAGTAAAAGGAGGCAGCCTGACTACAAACATTTGCATCCCTGAAAGATTCCTGCGAGACACTGCGGCATCTGCAAACTGAATTTCTATCCTGCAGGGCACTTCGCAGGGGGAGGGGCATCAATACATATCTGATCAGTGAATGGACAAGTGAACGCCAGTGAACAAATGAGTCACCCTCCAGACCCCGTCTCACTGCTGCAGAAATGCTCCTGGGCTGGTGTTTTGAGTCGTGTGGGTCACCATACAGCCCCACCCCCACCTCCACCTGTGAGTTCCCAGAGGCGCAGCACACAGCCACCACTCCCAGACTGGCTGGCCTGGAGGAGAAGGCTCGGCCCTCACACAGCCCCTCTTAGGCAAGGTCTCTGCCTAGAACATTCCATGACTCTCATTTTCATGGCCCAACAACAGTCATTTTGGAAATGGCTGCAGTAAAAACGGCACATTTCTAAGATAGCGTTCTTCCCTGTTCTGTGCGGGGGTTGGGTGCATCCCGCAGGTGGTTCTAACAGGGAGTGCGGACTGGTTACCTTTGCTTCCTGCTTCAAGGCAGTTTTGCTTTTTGGAGAGCAAATTTCACCTCATCAAGGCTTACGGGCAGGGACAATGACACCGCTCGCTCTTTTGTGGAACATGGCCTTGCACACAGTTAACGCCCAATAAGTGTTTTCTGATCGTATCACATCATATCAATGCAGATCACGTCATTTCGTATCTTATCTCAGTTAAAGAAGGATCAAACACAGGCATGAACTTATAAATATACAGGCAGACCTTGAAGATTGCAGGTTTGGTTTCAGGCAACCACAATAAAGTGAGTATTGCAATAAAGTGAGTCAGAATCTTTTTGCTGGTAGAGGGTATTGCCTTCAGTTTGTAGAAAATGCAACATGTGCCCTGGATGGTTTTGCTCAGTGGTTAGAACGTTGGCCCGTGGACCAATGAGTCCCAGGTTTGATTCCGGTCAAGGGCACGTACCTCGGTTGCAGTTCAGTCCCCGGCCCTGGTCAGGGTCATGCGGGAGGCAACCAGTCGATGTGTCCCTCTCAAGTTGATGTTTTCTCTCTCTCTCCCTCTCTCCCTCCCTCCCACTCCATCTGAAATAGAAAAATGTCCTTGAGTGAGGATTAAAAAAAGAAAATGCAACATCTGTGAGGCGCAATAAAGCAAGGTGTGCCTGTACACACAGAGCTATTTCTGTTGTCCTTGGAAACCTCTGGGGTGTATCTCAGATTGTGCAGAAAGCCCTTGTCACCCTACGGTCGCTCCTACTTTGCTGAGTTCAGGCCCCCAGTGAGTTTAAAAACCACTTGATTCAAGCGTGTACCTGAGGTGGGAATCGTGTTGGAGGGGTCCTTGTCAGGGCATCTGATTTCTGCTCCATCTCTTGCCTGAAATGAGACACATGGAGAAACAAGGAGAAATGGAATATGTGAAATTGGATGAGTGGGGTCTCTATTTTGGAAAATATTACTTAATATAGCAACCAAAGTGTCTGTTAAGATTTCTCCCTCTCATTCAACACTCATATCCGGGTGTCTGCAACATCCTTTGCAAATGCTCCCAAACCTGTCCCCTCTTCTCAGATCCTTCTACTCAGCCTGTGTCCAGGCCTGCTTCTTCTTGCCTGGAATACTGCAGTATTCCGGCATCGCCACCTTGTCCCTGGGCTTCCTCCCAGCTTCTGACCCATTCAGAGGGTCTCCCTCTCAGCATCATAGAACCGTGCCACTCCCCTGCCAAATCCCCTGGGAAAGCAGGGACTTTTGTCCGTTTTGAGTATTGCTGTATCCCCAGAACAGTACACAGTAGATGCTCAAGAAATATTTATTGGCTGAACAGTAAATACATTTCTACTCTGTGTTAATATCAACTTAAAGTCCATCTCCCTTAGCACGGCCTAAGTGGGCCCCGGTCACTCTAAACCATAAGAACTGTCCCAAGCACTTACCCCTGCTCCCCCTTTTCCTCCCCTCCATTTCCCACATCCCCATCCATCTGGTTCAACCTTAGTCAGCCTTCAAGACTGAGGTCATGGGTACCCTTGGAAATGTCCTTCAACTGTCTCCTGTCTCAGTTCATTGCTCTGCCTCTCTGCTCCCTGAAAACTCCACATAGACTTTATTATAGAACGTGTTCCATTGCGCAATATCCTGGTTGATTCCACTAGACTGAGCTCCTTAGGATAAGCGTATTTTTTTTAAAATCCTCATCTGAGGACATTTTTGCATTTATCTTCATATAGAGCAGGAGGGAGAGAGGGAGGAAGAGAGAGAGAGAGAGAGAGAGAGAGAGAGAGAGAGAGAGAGAAACATTGATGTGAGAGAGACATATCAAATGGTTGCCACCCACATGACCCAACCAGAGCCGGGGACAAACTGCAACTGAAGTACGTGCCCTTAGCGGGAACCGAACCCGGGACTCTCTGGTCCGCAGGCCGACGCTCTAACTGCTGAACCAAACCGGCCAGGGCACAAGCATGTATTTTATTGATGATGTTACCTCGTATGCTTAGGTACCTGCTCTGAGTCCCTGCCCTCTCTGATCTCGAGTCCTAGTAGTACGGAGCAGGTAGGTAATCAATAACTGCACCCTGCAGGAACGTATGGCTCCCTATGATCAGAGGATAATAATAGCAACACTTACACAGGACTCATAGCGTGCAGGTACGATCACACATGCTTTATACCTATGATTTGTTGATTTTATAGCAACTCCGCGAGGCAGGACCGTGACTTCCACCGCTTTCCATAGTAGAATAAGCAAGGCACAGAGGTCAGTGCCTGTCCAGTGGCACAGAGCCAGCAGGCGACAAGCCTGGACTGGAACCCAGAGCCAGTTCTCTCACCTCACATGCCTGCGCCCCTCCGACATATCCTCATCACTGTGGCATGAGTTAGACAGTGGGGACAGCCTGACAAACGAAGAGTTTTCCCCACAGTGTTTCCCGGGCCTTGAGGTGCAGGCCCAGACCCCAGCTTTGCCTCCGCCACGGGAGTAGCCTCCACCCTCGGTCACACGGATGGCGCTAGGCTGAACTGTCACAGCTCATATCAGTCCCCAGTCCTCAGAGGAGGACATCGACCTGCGAGTGTCTGTTCCTCAGACCAGGGTGTCCTATCTAATCTGGACAGAAAGCACAGGAAGAGTCGCGAGATAAGCAGAAGCAAGACACAGTGAGGGGCGGGGCCCCGAGACAGGCCGTTTCCCAGGCCTTTGGGTCTCCATGCTGTCTGGTTCAGATTTCACCCTATTTCTTGGCTGTTTCTCAGCTTTCTCTTCAGATTAAGGTCTCAGATGAGTTTAAACTGACCAATAAAATAGAAACAGAGGCAAGGATACAGGGAACAGACTGACATCTGTCAGAAGGGAGGGGGTTTGGGGCACTGGATGAAAGAAGGTGAAGAGACTAAGGAAAAAACCCATATCTATGTAACACAGAGACAGACAACAGTGCGGGAGAGCCAGGGGGGAGGGGTGGGGCAGGAGGAGGTGGGCATGGGGGCATGGAGACAGGGGAGACAACGGTGTGGGAGACCAGGGGGGAGGGGTGGGCAGGAGGAGGTGGGCATGGGGCATGGAGACAGGGGAGACAACGGTGCGGGAGACCAGGGGGGAGGGGTGGGCAGGAGGAGGTGGGCAAGGGGGCATGGAGACAGGGGAGACAACGGTGTGGCAGAGCCAGGGGGGAGGGGTGGGGCAGGAGGAGGTGGGCATGGGGCATGGAGACAGGGGAGACAACGGTGTGGGAGACCAGGGGGGAGGGGTGGGGCAGGAGGAGGTGGGCATGGGGGCATGGAGACAGGGACTTTGCTTGGGAGATGGGTACACAATGCAGTGTGTAGATGATGTTTTGTTGAGCTGTACATTTGAACACGTAAAACCAATATGGTTTTGTGAACAAATTCACCCCAACGAATTAGATTTTTTTTAAAAACAGCGAAATTGCCATTCTCTGGAGCATTTTCCCAATCCTTGCAGATTGGGCTTCCAGGCCAGTCCTTGTTTTTTTGGCCCCAATAAACCCTTCTCAAGGTTAACAAAGGAAGGGTCTGAGATGGGGAAGGGCCTGCAGAAGCTCACCTTACAGTGGGAGCACCTGACTCTCCCTGAGGCTGCAGAACAGGGGCTGTTCCCACTGCGGAGTCGAGGGCAGACCTGCCTCAGGCACCAGGAAGACAGCCGCGCACCTGACCCTCCCCCATCCCAGCTGCCCGTGGGGTTCCAGGATGAGGAACCACGTGGACATTTCCACAGACTCCGCAGAGTGGAGGCCCTGGTTCCTTCACGTGTGCTGGCCGCAGAGGACCTCTCCATACCTCGAGCTTCTCCTGGGTCTCCATCGGCAGGTAGTTGCTGTTTCTATAGGTGAACAGATAGGGATTTTCCTGCAGAGAAAAAAAATGTGTTGTAACCACGACCCAGAAATCTGTACCCTTGAATCATCAGGCTTTATCATCCGGCAATGCCTTTGGCCAATTTGGAACATTCATACCATCATTTAAATGAAAACCACCCTCTGGCTTTTCTCTGTACTGCCTATAAGTTCCCAGAAGGAGCCCATTAATGCTTTACAATGTCCCAGTTGAAACATTCAGCATCTCTTGCTCGCTACCTGTAGGTCCATGCTACCAGCAAAGTACATATATTTCCATGAGAGAAGAGCTTAATGGTGAGCTTCCTGGTAGCCAAAGCAAAGAGGGAAACAGGGTGAATTTTATTGATCTTATAGTTTAGCAACAAAAACTTACCAATTCATCGAGAAAGCCAAAACTTCGACTACCATTAAATGATAAAACAATTCTGCTTATTTATGGTATTTCCTCATCCATTTATTCAGCAGCATTAATTGCATGCCTATTATATATTTGGCACACATTTAAGAAACCCATCTTCACCTTTGGGACACTTCGGGCCAGGTGAGATATGGCTTTGTTCCTATGCCTTCCACAGGTATGGAAAGGGCCATAATTCTACTAAAAAGGCTCAATTCTGCTACAATGGTTAAATTCTGTAAACTTACATGTGCCAAGTATGCAAAGGTGTGACCAAACCCAGGGAACAGAACCATGATTCTAAAGCAGCTGATGTCTCAGCCAGGTGAGACTCACTTCAGAGCAAAGCCCAGATGGTGACTCCATCTCTTTCCCCATTTGGTGAGCAACTTCCTCCCCACACCACAAGTTCCTGCTCACCTGAGAGGGGCATTTCAGCAGCCTTCTCTCGTTTGCACTGAATGGCTCATCCTTCTGTCCTGCGGGCTCCATCTGGAAAAGGTGATCTTTAGAACAGGAAAGTCACGCGCAGGTGGCAGCATTCCAGGTACCACCGAGAAAGACTCGTTCATCCAGTGTGTCTCCGAGTTTGACCCTGGACCAGCAGCATCAGCATCACTGGGAACACTCAGCAATGCACATTTCCAGCCCCCACCCCAGACCTACTGAGTCAGAAACCCTCGGGTGGGGTCCAGCTCTCTGCATTTTGTTGTTGCTAATCTTCACCTGAGGACATTTTTTCCATTGATGTTTAGAGAGTGGAAGGGAGGGAGGAGAGAGAAACAGAAACATCAATGTGAAAGAGACGCACGCACCCCGAACCTGTGACCCTTCTGTGTGTAGGCCGATGCTCTAACCACTGTGCAACACTGGCCAGGGCCAGCTGTCTGCATTTTATCATGCCCTTCGGGGGATTCTGATGCACGCTCAAGTTGAGGCCCACCGCACGAGAGGAACTATTGATTCCTAGGCCGCCCCTCTCACAGGCGAAACTGAACACCAGGGAGGTTGGGCTGGGTCTAGGACACTGGGGTCCTCGATCCAACCCGATGTCTCTAGTCACACGGCTCCCTATGTCCGTGGATTCAGGAACGAGTGACGGTGGCATCAGCTCTAGCATGGGCAGCTCCTTCAGTGATCACCAAAGCCTGTGCTACAGCCTAGACAGAGTGCGGGGGGTACGAGCGGGTACGAGCACTGAAGGGCAGAGAGGAAAATGAAGGCCACTGAAGAACTTGATGTGACAGCAATTTTTTTCAAGTTCCTTGTTGTCATTTTTAAGTGCTCATTGTGCATATGTAAGTACTGAAGAGAAAAACGCAGTGGCCTAGAGGTGCCAGAGACTTCCTCTGCAAGAACCACGGAGAACCTCGTGTCGGCCCTGCTTCCCACAGGTGCCAGGCTCCCACGACACTTTGTCCCTCGCCTTCCCTCCCAGGACCTTGACAGGGGACACAAGAGCCAGGCGGCGACAGCACGGAGCACCCTGCCCGGCTCAGTCATGGGCTCTGCCAGTCTCCAGGAAGCTTTTAGATTCTGCGGCAATATCTTATCCCAGAGTCTGTGCCCACAAAGCAAGAGGCAGGAAGAGGACTTTGCCCTCCTCGGGGCTGGCTCTTCACCCAAATGGACAGAGTTGATAAGAGGGTGTCATTAACCTTTTGGAAAAAGAGTGGCAACCCTATAGCTCAAGGGCTGGAGGAGGAACTGAGGCCCCTTCTTTTGGTTTTATTCTGATGGCGGACACTCCTCAGATTGGAAGGACCCGCCCAGAATGCCCGGCCTGCGCTGAAAGGGAGTGTGAGTGGCCAGGCTGGTGGCCAGGTGTTGATCTGGCCTGCTTTCTGTTCTCCAATCTTTCAAAAATTTAATCCATAACTGAGCCTGGAAATAAACATGGGAAAAGCCACACCTTAATGATTCTGATAGAATGGATCTAGCAGAGCCTTTTTTTAAGGACCTCAAAGAAGGGAAATTCATAGGTTTTGCCCATAAACCCATTTCCATTAAGAACCTCGTCCTAAACATGTCTTTCTTAGTCACCTACATCCTTCCTGCCTCCACTAATTCCCTTAACACCTGCTTGGACCCTCTAGCCTCAAGGGGGTGGACTATGACCTGCTTCTCCAAATGAGCCCTCCCGGGTCCCTCCTTCTGCATGTACACCCCAGGGACCGCGGTGCTGGCCAGGTGCTCTCCCGACACCATTCAGCCCCTCAGCTGCTTCCCAGCCGCCCTGCCGTCACCTGGAGCGTGGGAGAGGTGGGAGGGTGACCGTAGACCTTCTCTCCCAGGGGAATTCCCCCTCGACTGGGAGCAATTCCCAGGAAATTCCCCCTCGACTGGGAGTAATTCCCGGGTGTCCTCATTCTGCCCTGATGTTAGCACCTTGCACAGGGCTGGGCACCAGGCAGGGGTCAGTCATGACTGCAAGGACTTGGGAATCGAGTTCCCCAAAGGTGGGTCTCCTTAAAACTACTGTGGTAGCTTAAAACTGATGAGAAATGAGTGAGGAGAAGGCAGAAAGAGCCTGGGGAAGGACTTACGTCCCCACGCAAGCCCCTCAGCTCTGTGCCAGGAGCTCAGCTTCAGCCCGGGAGCTCATTCGCTGGGACGGTCCCTGGCGTGTTTCAGATGCAGGCCGCTTACCACCCGTGACCAGCGTGTGGCGTTTCCCATCACTGGCCCACAGAGCTTATGAACATTCTGGGGCTTGGCAGGGGGCAGGAGGGGAGCACCCTGCTCCCTTGAGTCCTGGGGCGTAGTGGAAGAGAGGAGCGTAGAACCTGGGCCCCTGTGGTCACAGCAGTTCTACTGGCCACTGTCTGCCCCCACTCATTTGGGGCTCTGTGTGTCTGCGGATCTGGGCGTGGACAGATATGCCTGACTTTCACCTCTGTGGCCTCAGTTAAGCCCCACACAGCGGAGGCTCAAGGAGGTGAAGAGAGACTCTGGCCTCCCGTGTTCCCTTGGGAACTACTGCCAAGGCCCTGGGAGGCTGACTGAAGGTCATATACTCCTTTGGCAAGTAGAGGAAATGGAGACCCAAAAAGGCCATGGGACTCACCTCAAACAAAGATCAAAAGATCCACCTGGGAGACCCCTCCCTCTGCTGATCTGGCTGCAGGAACCCTGAGAACTCTCCCTGGGAAATGACTGGTGATTGGTTGGACAGGTCTGGAGAGAATGAGGAGCCTGCCCACCCAGAAAAGCCACCTCCACCTCCTCAGGGCTCTGTGACATCTACTGAGTCCCAGTCCTTTGACCTTGAGTGTGAGACCTTCTGTTTCCCTTTGTGCACCTCTTGTCCTCGTCCTCACCTCGAGGGGCCACAGGACACTGTGCGCGCCTGTTTCAATGGACAGGACATCACCTGGGCTCAATAGCAAGACGAAGGGAGAAGGAGAGGGGAGCCCTTCTGGCCTTTCTGCTCCCTCCAGCTCCTCTGTCTGGTGTTCAAAGTGTTTCCTTTGTTCTCAGGGCCTCCTTATCCCATCTCATTGTTACCAGACCAGCTTCTACTGCCTCTTTATAATGCATTTGGCTTTTTTCCCTCCAAGCCCTTGGCTCACAAAGGTCTCTTGCCTGGGAATGACCCCCCCCCCATCCTACAAAGCCAATTCAAATTCTACCATTGTGGGGCTCTCTGGACCTCTTGTCCATGTCACTTTGGGGTGCACAGTCCAGCACATACTGCTGGCTGAGTTCAGGTCTACTCTTGGTCCTCTGAGTCACCTGACCCTTCCAGCTATACCCTAGGCTCAGTGAAGGCAAAGGCTATTTGGTGTGTCTTTTGTGTCCTCCTCGGACCCAGCACAGGGCAGGGCCCACTGTAGGTTTCCTCTCGTTGCTTGGGAGAGAGGTGATGTAGAAGGGATGGCTGAGCTGCAGAGGGCCAGGGAGGGCAGCACTGCAGGAGGGCCAGGGCGCCTCCTGTGCCCGCCACGGGGATCGCAGCCAAGTGACGGCTTGCAGGAGACTTTCCACCCGAGGGCCAGACCCGCTGACAAAGAAACCAAATGCTTCCTTCACGCAGAGGGCGATTCTATGGACGAGGGCTGCCGGCGGCCCCTGCCCCTGCCTGCTCCCGGTCCTGCTGCCTGATGCTGCTCATGGCACCAGCAGAGCCCTCAGCTGAAAAGATGGAGAAAGACTTTCTAATCCAAGGAAGAAGAAAACCAAGTTTCTGTCTCTGGAATTCTAAAAATAGGGCAGCTTGGATGGGGAAAAAATAAATGGCAAAATCAGATGTCTGTCTGGTGCCCCGGCTTTCAAAGGCAAAGTTCTGACATTCCATCCCACCCACTGAGAGTCCCAGGCAGTCCTGGGGCCTTGAGGTGCCGGGAAAGCCCGGCAGAGCTACAGTGAGAGGTGTCCACTCATGTCGAGTACACACCGTGGGCTACACACTCCACATGCTCTGGGTCAGGTGTTAGGATCTGGGCTGTGTAAGGGAGTAGAGACCCTAAATTCACAGAGCCCGTGAGAGACAGCATTAGGATTTGAACCCAGGTCTCCATCACTCGAAAGTCCATCCTCACCCCAGGTGCCACCCTGGGCCTTGAAACCATGGGGTGGTGCTTACATGGGGAGTGAGGGAACGCTGGCCTGGCGTCGCTGCGTGAGCCATTCCCTGGGGCCCCACTCCAAGTGAAGTCTCCCACACAGACTCCTCTGGGAAGAGGACCGAAGGTACCCGGAGAGCCCCGCACACTGCCAGGGCTGTGCCCAGCTCTGGGACAGGAGGTGAAACCCAGGTGGTCAGAGCTGGGCTGTCCCTGGCGGCCCGGAATCATGCTGGGCTCCTGCGGGAATCCTGCAGCCCCTCCATCACAGTGCTGGGCAGAGCAGGTGTGGTGGCGGAGGCCCACCCCTCCTGGACGCCAAATCCCCAGGCCGGCACCGCAGCCTCCCAGAATGCCCTGCAACTCACCATGCTGTTCCAGAGATTCAAGGCGAGTGTGGCGGGATCCTGGAGTGGCCACTCCCCCTGAAAGAGGACCAGATAAGAACGCCTGTGTGCCCCCAAGGATGGGGTAGACCGGCCAGCACTTTGAAGCTGTCCCTGGCAGAGATGGGGTGACCCTCATCTGTCCAGACTCTTTCTCTCAGACCCTCTCCACATCCACAACACAGGCACTTACAGGACCACTGTCTGGGGTCAGGGCTTGGAGGTGAGGGCCCGCAGGAGCAGGTCAAACCCCTCAGTATCATGGGGTTCTGCATAACTGAATCAAACGGCTGAAGCAGCTGTGACAGGGAAGTGATTCATGTGTGGTCTGAGGGGGGGGGGCTAATATTCCTCCTCCTCCTTTTACACCATTTAAACGTCCTTGAGGTCCTGGAGGGGGCACAATTACTCCAACAGGCAGGAGCCTGGGGGAGGAGCTGTCCCAGACACACAGTGCTGAAGCTCGGTGGTGTCAGAGACCCTGCTGAGTGCGTGTGTACCTGCCACCATGCTCAAGGTCTGGGCGCCCCACCGGGGCAAGGGGCATTTGCCCAGTGCGTATCCCGAGCTCAGCGAGTCCCAGATGGGTGGGAGAGGGAGAGGGAGAGGGAGTGGGCCAGGCTCCTATGGCCACCCTCACTCACCGAGTGTGGTGACAGGGCCGTCTCGTAGAAGAAGGGCTGGAAAACCACTGCGAAGGACTCCTGCTCGTTGTACTTGCTGGAGGCCAGCAGGCGTTCCCAGCTCTCCTGCGGAAGAGAGCGGAGACGTGTGTACCCCGGAGCGCGAGAGGCACAGCCTGTCCCATCCTGCGACCGACCGGGGCTCTCAGCAGCCCCTCGGTCGCATCGCCCATCACATGCTGTTCTGAGATGGATCTGAAATGTATTTCCTGGGAGCTCAGGGAGCATACACCAGCCGGGCATGCAGCTAGGGCACCCATGCTCCGTTCGAGGGCTAAGTCCTGTAGAGGGACGTGCCATTAACGAGACAAAACGTGTCACCTCTGGAGTGAGAGAAGTGCCACCCAGCGTCAAACATAACTGTCTTCTCAAAAGAAGCCCATGTGAACACATCAATAGGACTGTGTCTGAGATGTTTGCGGACAGGGATGGTGGCTTCCACTAAGCCCTCCTCATCCTCTTGGGGTCTCTTCTCTAAACCAGGAAGCATGTCTTTGTGACCTCTGAGTTGCCCTTGGGCTGCCATCTGGGGTATCGGCCCAGCCCGGGCAGAACCAGCTCAGCAGCCACAGATGCGGTGGTACAAGCGGTGGTGATGATCAAAGCCATTTCCAAGTGAGTCTGCAAAGTCCTTCACTATCTAAAGTACCACCACTGCCCCCACCCCTTCAGTCCTGTCATCCCCATTTTACATTCAGGAAAACCAAGTCCTTACTGGGGGGCAAACAGAGAGCGCTCTGGCCCCTGACTCAGTTAGAGACGTCCCACAGTGGTAGGCTTACACCCTAATTGTTCCCATTACCCCTGTTCTCCACGACCCTCACCCCTGCAAGTCACCAGTCTCCCACGGTGGGCTCACCTGATAGGACCACTGTGCCACGACCCTGGACAGCTTCGAGACATGCCCTGAGCACCTGTAGGGCTCTGCGGAGGGGCTGCAGGTTAAAATAAGCCAGGAGTGAGAGCGAGGACGCAGCAGGGCCATTCGGGCTGCCCGTGGAGGGATGCGAGGGAGCGGGCAGGAGAAGCTGGAAGTCTCGGGCACAGAGGAAGGGAGCGCACTGAGCGGAACAGCGCGGGAAGGTACACTGATCTGGTTCCCCGCCTGCCCTCCCTCAGGGTGGGGAGATGTGGAGACATGCTCCCTCTCCCTCCTTCTCCAGAGGCATCCCCTCTGCCCCACACCAGAAGCCCACCTCGAGTCCTCCTCCCCAACCCCTTCTCTTCAAAACCCCCTGTCCTCTCAGCACTGTCCTCTGCTGTCCGGTGTCCCCGCCTCTAGCTGTCCCTATCCTGACTTTTGCCATGTAAACTTCTTTTCTGGGTGCAAAGCCAGAAATCTTAGGATTTGGGGTCAAGGAGTTTACATTCTATGACAAATGTCAGACCTGTGGGGTAATCAAGTTCTGTGAAGATAAAATACATTTAGTATTTCTTTCCAATGTCTAGAAGTATCACTTCTTGGCTTATGGATGTTTTGTCAAACCTGCTGTTTAAGCTGAAGTCATTCTGGTGGGGGGCAGGGCACCTGACTCCATCAACCAGACGGGGTGGCTCCTCCTCTGACTCAGTCCCAGAACGTGCTGCGTGCACGCGCCGTGTGGCCTCGCTCACGAGCCTGCTCTGTCTGGACCTCCGTCCTTTAGCTGTCCCTCGCGGGATCAATGCATGCGGGGCGCCCCACCCTGTGCCTGGCGCACCACAGCCCCTCAGCCGATGCTGGTCCCGCACCACGCCATTACCTGAGCTGGGTCCCCTGATGCCAGGGAGAACCACCTGCAGCCTCAGAGAGGTCCACCAAGTTCACAAATGCTCTAGGGACCTGACAGGAAACATGGGGGGAGATGAACGTTTGCAAAGTCACCATCCTGCCCAGGATCTCCCTTGGAGCCCTTGGCTGAGCCCAGTGCGGGGTCTGGTTGAGCATGATGGGCCTCTCTGGAAGAGGTTTGCTTGGGGTTGGCCCAAAGCTGCCGGCCTGCTGGTTATGCAGAGACATGTCATTCGCCATCCCTCGTGGTGGGCAGGGCGCCGCCCCCAGGTGTCCACAGGAAGTAGAACCGCGAGGGTGACGGACTCTAGACCTTCGACAGAGAAGCTGCCTCCCCAGTCTCAGAACCTGCCGTGCTTGCTCATCGCGGTCACTCTCCAGAGGGCAGCTTGAAGGTTCTCAAGGACCCCCCAGGTCACCACTGCCCCAGACTGTTCAGGAAACAGTGGGCTCACTGAATCCCCAGGGGGAGCTGTGCTTGCTCCTGCTTCCTGCCCAGAAGCCTGTCAGAAGTAGCTTCTGTAAGAGCGAAGGACCCAAGTTTCCTTTCAAAGGGCCAGAGACTGGCTCCTGCAGACCCTTTCCCTGGCCCTGATCTCCCGCGTGGAAGGTCTGCCACTTCGCCATTTCCCCACCGGCGGGGACCATTTGAGAGCAGCCAGGACCTGCCTGTCAGCCCGCGGCAGGAAGGCAGACGGAGGAGTGGGGCGGTCCCCGGAGCGGGGGCAGCTGCCGGCTTACCTCCTGCAGCAGGTAGTCCAGCATTCTGGTCAGCCTGTCCATGCCCCCTGTCATGTGCCGGTGCTGTGACAGGAGAGATGTGCTGAGTGCAGGTAGGGACAGGAACGGGGCCGAGGACGGCTGGGCTCCCGGCCCGGCCCTGCCCCTCCCGACCCCTGCCCTCAGCTGAGATGGCAGTGACAAAGGCCCTACTGGACCCCAGCTTCCCCAAAACAGGATGGAGTTCCCAGAGTGCCCTAGGTTTTTGTCCATTCTGACTTTCCCAACCCATCATCCACTAGGACAACATCAAACTCCCCCAAATGAGAAGTTCCACGTCAGGGAAGGACAAACTCAAGGTCAAGGGCTCGCTGCAGCTCACACAGAGGAATGGGAGGAATGGGAACCGGGACTCGCTCCCAGAGGGGGACACAATTATCCAGACGGGCCTCGAGTGTCCACAGGGCATTCTTTCATCAGACTTTCCCTCCACATGCTGTCACCAGGCGTGTGAGGATATCCCCTTCCCACCCAATTCTGTACAGGTAATGAAAATAAATAAACAAATGATGGCGCTTCAAAAACAGACCCTGGTTTATCTCCCCAGGATAAAGAAGAAACCCAAACAAACAAACAAAAAAAACACCAAACAAAAATAAACTTGACGAGACAAACTCCTAAGCTGCCTGCCAGCCCGATGTCCCCTGAGGGGACTTGGCTCAGACGGGAAGACAAGGAAGGCCCGGGAGCTGCTGTTTCCTGGGGGAACAGAGGCGGTGATTCTGGCGACAGCTGCCACTCAGGCAGGCTGTGGCCGAGGTGGGACAGTTTCCCCACTGCTGAGTCCCGCGCGGTGCGAGGCTGTCCTCTGGGGCCAGCAAGGAAGCGGGCTGTCTCATTTTCTTCAGTCTCAGGGAGCCTGTCTCTGAGCATGACCTTAAACAGCTCACTTTTCCTTCTGAAGAGACTTGGGGTTTCTGTCTAGAAAGGTCCTTGCTGCCCACATTCAGGTCATTGATCTGCTACAGGGAAACTGGGGTCCCTGCATGCTCTCCCCCATCAAGGTGCTTATTACTCAGGCACTGAATGCTTGTCACTTGGGCACCAGCTGTCCCTGTTCCTTGGTGGAAGACATTACACTCATAAAAATGTTCCTCATCTATAAGGCTACACATAATAAACTCCTCCTTGAACCCAAAGTCAGGAAAAAGCTCATTTTTCCAAATGAAAAGACACATTTTTATTTATGTCTTTTGCCCTCAGAGTCAGAAGAGTGTTCAATTATCAAGTATATGCCCGAGACAAGACTTACCTGTTTCTAATAACCTATTTCCTTGGGATTGATTCCAAGGAGTAGGATTACTCAATAAAAAGATAAAGCCACTTTTAGGGTTCGTGAATCATCCTGCCACCAGACCCCCAAAATGCAGACCCTGCTTCTAAAGGCATTTGCAACAAATACATGTACAGATTTTCTTACAGTGGCATTGGCTTTGAGTTTTTTCCTTCATTTTTTCTCTTCTTTTAATTGGTTTTTTCCATCTCACTCATTAACAAAACTAGACTTGAACGAGCGAGCAAGTAGTAAAAGGAGTCCAGACCCTCTGAGCCCGTTTCTGCGCAATGAGCCCGGTTCCCAGTTACCTGCGAAGCACCTGCCTTTGCCTTGCTGGACACACATAGCAGCCCTGAGAAGCACTGTCACCGCCTGATGCATGGCTCCCGATCTCCCTCTCATGACTTTGGCCTTAAGAACCCCCCAAAGAACAAATGTGAACACAGGCCTTATCTACCTCCCACCAAAGGAGCCCTCTTAGAGGAGAAATGTCGGGGCCTAAGTAGGGCAGGACAGGAGTTTAGCATTTCTTCTTAACAATAAAACACCTTTTTCTCACATGAACTACTTTGGGAAACTTGACCTATGCACAGGTAAAGGCAGAGATACTCTGTGAAGGTGGGTGGAAGCTGGAGCCCCCTCTCAGGCTGGCCCTTGCCCTCCAGTGGCCCCTGGGCTCTGCAGAACAAGTCCCGAGGGACAGGCTGTACCTGGGATGTGCTTTCGGGACGCAGAGATGCAGTGTAAGGACATCTCTGGTGGGGGGTGGAGAGCTATGCCGCTGCGTTAGCCTGAAGGGGGACCAGTGTGACGTCAGAGCGACCACCGGGAGGACCAAGAGGTGGGCGGTGGCTCTGGGCAGTGGAGGTGTGACTGGCGGCGTGAAGCAAGGAGCTGGCAGCCTGGGACACGGAGGCTGAGAGCCAGCTCTGGAACCACAGGCCCTTCGTGGGAAATGTAAGTGCAGGTGGGCTTTATTCCAGGCTCCAAAGACTTGTGGTCTTTGTGCAAAAGGAAAATCAAGATGAAAGAAAAAAAAAACTGCAATAAAGAGGGAACTTGAGTAGATGCTATTAAGTATCGCCACAGTGAGCTGAATTTATGGAGATGGAGTCACTGGTGTGTGACCATTTAGAAACTAGGAGTAAGGCATATGTAACGTTTGTCATATGTTTATAACCAATTAAAAGTGTGAGGTTCCAAGTGTGTATCAATTCGATCCATACCGGTCAACATGACCAGATCTTCACACACCGGAGGGAACTTCCCAGACTGACAAAACGTTTGATGACGAGTGTCAGAAAGGTGTCGGGAATGAGAGCTCAGACACGAGGAATACAGACGGGTTCAGCTACTTCGGAAGGCAACGCAGCAGGCCCTGCTAGACCCTAAAGAGCACGTGCCTGATGACGGGCAATTCTGGGCTTAAGAATCTACTCTAGGAACTTTTCTTCAAGTTAGTTTGAGCATGACCCACTGTAAGACGGGTTTCACATCCTAATTCCATGCACATATCTGTGTAGAAAGCGAAGCAAAAATAACCATGAACCAACACTTACCTTACAACATGTAAGCGACGCTGATATTTTATAGTTTATTCTATTCTATTTCTATCTTTATAATTTTGGTTGCAATCTTTAGACTTAATGTTGACCCACTAATATACTTCAATCTGCAATCTAAAAATCACTGTATTTATAAAAATGCACATGTCCAGGTAAATAAACAAGATAGTTTATAATAGTGAAAAACTAGAAATACCTAAATGGCCATCAATAGGGAAATGGAAAAATAAAACTTATTAAATTTATGCAGTGGAATACTATTTAGCAAATAATGGGAACAAACTCAATGTGTGTGTATCACCATGACTAGATGTCAAAAATACTTGGTTAGTGAAAAAAAATTGCTCACATATAATACTATTTGTGTTAAATATCAATCTTTCTCTCTCTCACGCAAAATACTACTAGGATTCAGAGATATGTAAGAAACTTGAAAATAAAATGGTATCGGAGGTGCTATTTTAGCTTTAGATGTAATGTTTTTGTTTTTTAAAAGAAGAAAGCATTTGAGCATTGTTTATCTAACTAAAAATTATTAACAGTAAATAAATGGGTACACTCAGATATAGGAATGCCTCACATAGTCAAAATGCTTCAGAGCATAAATACAGGAAAGAATGCAAGAATTCACATAGGAATGCTTGAATGTGAGCTAAGTGTATGGAAGAAATCATGAATGAGTGCAAGCATCCATGAATGCATTCAAACATTTTTAAAAATCAAACAAAAGCCAGCATGAACATAAACCCATCATACATACAATGGCACATGCCTACATGTACAAAGAGAAGATGAATTTGTGCATGACTAGACAACTTATGGATGGGCGGATATACAGAGGAATGTAGCAATGCCTAAATGCTTCTGTGAGCACGTTAATGCATGACTACGCAAATTCATGAAGGAATTCTGGTGTGAATGATCACCAAAACGAGGGGCATAGAATGTACAGAACTTGTAAATTCCACTTGGCGTGGGAGAAAGTAGGAGGTGAAGTAGAACAATGCACCTTCGAGATCTGTGAGCCACAACCCCTGAGATCTGTGGGACTATTGCTCAACAAGACCTGGTCCGGCAAGGCGGGCTCCCCTCAGGCTTTCTCCCATCAGCATTCTCCCAGGGCCGCGATCGCTAACGGAAGGGGTTTGGTGCTGGGCCAGGAGTCAGTGGGAACATGGGACACTGGAAGAAGGCCAGAGGATAGGCTGTGGGAGAAGGGCACAGAACAGAGGAGGACAACACCTCAGGGAACATCACGCATGCCTGTGCCATGCCTGGCAGGTGACCGAGAGCACAGGGGCAGGTCGCTGGTCTACCCAGGTGGCAAGGCCAGCTTGGTGGCAACCAGGCTCCAGGCGCCTGAAGAAGAGTGTGTGTGCCATCTGTCATCATAGCCTAGGTAGCTAAGCTGCCCCTTACTCAGCTGATCCCAACCTGGAAGACCTCCAGTAAGGACTGGAGTCCTAGACAGCCACCTACAGAAATAATAAATGAAGCCATGTATTCCATGCCCTGCATCCAGGAATTCTAAAGGGCCTGGAGGATGGTCTAGGTACCTGAACAGGAGGCTTCCATTACTAGAGTTCATGGTGAATTACAGTTCTAGAGGTGATGACAAGAGTACCTGTCATGCTTTATTCCCCAAGTTCAGTGCTTAAGTGAAATCAGGGTAAAAAGAGGCAAAACGATTTTGCTGAGTTTCTTCAATTGCAGAATGATCATTGACTCAGTTTTTCTAGACCTCAGTTTCCTTTACCTGAGATGAAAGATGGTAAGTGAAAACACCTGTCCCTGTATGTGGTCCCTTGAGCCCTTAGATATTTATCCATCCATCCATCCATCCATCCATCCATCCATCCATCCACCCACCCACCCAAATTCTGAAATAGGTGCCATCAGGCCCGGCCCAGATGCAGATCAGGCTGGTTTAGTCCATTCCCTCGGCACCCACCCTGCATTCTCAGTCCCTCTGACCCCCAGCCTGCTGGTTTACCTGCTGGGCGGAGGGACCCTGGTGACAACGGCTTGTATTACTGAAGAACACACTGATGAGCTTCCAGTCATTCTGAAAGTCAAGTTGCTGAAGAAAAAGGCAACGGCATCAAAAAGCGATAGTGATAAAACCTGATACAAAAGAGCTTTCTTCTCATATCTTTCAAGTTCATATACCCACCCCCACAAAATCACATTTATGAACTTCTTCCAAAAAGAGAAGTATATGGTGGAAAACTCAAATTGTATAACTGCTCTAGAAGGCAATTTGATAAAATATAGTTTAAAAAATGTTAAGGGCATACCCTTTGATCACACAATTCCATTTCCCAAACTGTGTTTTAAGGAAATGAGACAGGAGAGATTTGGCTGCAGTGATGAAGCCTTGCTTACAACAGTAAAAAAACTGGAAACAATATAAATGCCTAAAATAAGGGGCTGCTCTGCAAACTGTGAAATACTCATAAGATGAAACACTGTAGCTACTAAGATGATGTCGGAAAATGCCACTATTGTCATGGAAAATATCGTATTTAGAAAGCAGGTTATAAAAAGTATCTACATCTAGTCACATCCTTGTTTTATAAAATATACACATGTGCTTGGAAAAAATAGGGGAGGAGATGCACACTGAGCTGTCAACAGCAATCATCTGTGGGTACTTTTTTTAAATTATTTACCTGTGTTTTCTAATTTTTCTGTAATAAACACGTGTCACTTGTAGAACAAAAAATAAACATTTATTTTGCTCCTTAAGAGGCAGCGTGAGCCCTGGTCGTGTGGCTCAGTTGGTTGGAGTGTCATCCGTACATAAAAAAAGGTTACAGGTTTGATCCCTGGTCAGGGTGCATACAGGAGGCAACTGATCAATGTCCCACCCCCTCCCTTCCTTTCTCTAAAAATCAATAAACATATCCTCAGGTGAGGATTAAAAAAAAAAGCTGCAGCTGGATGCAGTCGAGGAGCACGAGCCTGCGAATCAGACACTTCAGATTTTAACTAACTAGCTGTGTGAACTTGAACAGGTCCCATGAATTCCCTGGGCTTCAGTTTCCTCATCTGTAAAATTATGGAGTTGGATTCAAGATCTCCCAGCTTTTCCCAGAATGTTGTGATTACTCTAGAAATTCTAACATTCTCGTTAGGGGGGCGCCGACTCTGGATGGCTATCTCCTGCACCCGCCCCTGTCCCTGTGGACCTGCAGTGACCTGGCTTTCATGCCTGAGCTCATTAAGGACTGTGTGGACGACAGAGACGGTGGCTGCCCTTGGTGTCCGCGGTCCAGGGTCAGCACTTGGTTAGAGCCAGGTGCCCACAGGGGTCACAGGGGCCTCCACCTCAGAATTAAAATGAACACGGTCATTAATGACAATAACAGTCACCACTTCAACGACAGTGACAGCTAAGCCTTTCTTTGAGCATTGCCTCTGTGCCAGACACATCCAACACCTCATTGAATTCTTCCTAAGTCCTGTGCTACAGCCTGTTAGTAGTATTTTATAAATGGGGAAACTGAGGCTGAGATGGCGTGCCTTACCCAACGTTATACAGTTAACAGGTAGGGAATTCAGGATTCCCGTTTAAACTGGTGTCCCTCTGGGGCCCTGGCTCTCAACCCCCGCCCTCCGTGAGAAGTCATGAAGTCCATCTGCTGACTTTTGGCAGGACCACACCAAACCACCTGTGCACACGAGAAGTAGCCCTGTGTGTCAATGGCCTCGGGAAGATCATTTCCGGAGCATCCAGGCCACCCTGGTTGCTGAGTTCAAGGCACGGTGGCTGCAGGGCTACAGCTGTCTGGTGTGTTTGGTCTGACGGCCCTGCAGCAGATACGGCAGCCCCAGCCCCAGTCAGATGGGTTCCTACCTGGTTCTTCTTCATACTCCTCACCAGTTCTTTTGCCTGAATCCACAAGTCTCTGCACAGTGGGAGGGGAGCAGAGAGAAAACCAGTTCAATGTAACTTTGTCCAGGCTGGACGCTCGCGCCCCCCACCCCCACCCCAGCGTGGGAGCCAGTCTCTGAGTCCACGGCCACACTGGACGCCCCTGGCTTCCGGAGGGCAGACCTTGGACTGGCTTTTTAATTAGGCCCATCAGGCAGGCTTCAATCAGTGCAGGAGATGCTTTGGGCTTTGATTTAAAACAGACCTCTATTTTTTAAAATTAATTAATTTTTTTACAGATGTTTCTCCTTTTCCCCCATTGACAGCCTCTTTGACTTTGCCAGCCTCCCTTCCCCAAATCCCCTGCCCAGGCGCCAGAGACCAACAGGAGTGCACAGCCCCGAGAGCCAAGGAAGGGTCTTACTCAGCACCACTGTGGGGTATCACTCTCTTCCCAGGGGTGCACACGGGCCTCAGAACAGAGGGGTTGAAGTGTCTGATGACATCTGAAAGGACTAAAGAAAGGGAGTGCTGGTTTGAGGGGTGTGGCTCTGACGGCTGGAGGTCACCCGTAGAGACTGACCCCTCTGGGGTGAGGTGTCCAGGGCCGCTGCCCTATTCCAAACTATGACCTTCACACCTGCCTTAGGCTGTGAGGTCAACCCCATAGCAGGCCCCTGGAAGCAACCGGAGCTAAAAATGAACATCTGTCAAGTGCTCGGCCAGGCTCAATACGAAGCACCTTGTATGTGTGCAGGGGAAACTGAGGCCCTGAGAAGCTAAGCAACCTACCCAAGCTCTCCAGGCTAGTGAAGTTGTGTGCTATCGGTCCACTGGGAAGTGTGCTGGGACAGGGACCTGGGCAGGCTGTCTCCCAGCCCCTCTCTCCTCCCGAGAGTGACAGCAGGGAGGGAGAACTCTGGGAACAAAGGCACGTCCCAGAGCTGACAGCCAGAGGACCACTAAAAATAGCGCTGCCAGGAGCAGTTAAGTTGTGTCTTGCTCCCAAGAGAGGAGAGAGCAGCAGGGAGAGTGTCACGGGAGGGAGATGCCTTCACCTGCACCCTCAACCCTCCTTTCTTTCTGCCGCCCTCCAGAATGGCCGGGGGCTTCGTGGGAGCAGACACCAGGGGCAGCTTTAAGGGCTCCCTGTGAAGGAGCCGCCGCTGAGCAGGCAGCACGTGGGGGAGGGGTGGGCGGGAGAATCGGGCTGGAAGTCAGGCTGGTCACTCCGCTTTGTCAGCTCGGGCAGCCACCACGGTCACCTGTGACTCAATCTTCTTCACCCTCGACCCAAACTAACGAGCTTCCTTTTCTAAGCCCTGCCCAGCTTGCAGAAGGAGCCCGTTCTCACGCGTGGTGAGAAACTGGAGAGCTCTTGGCCAGTGGACCACTACAGCGGGGAGTGTGAATGTGAGTGTCTGAGTGTGTGTGAGTGTGAGTGAGTGTGAGTGTCTGTGTGCGTGTGAGTGCCTGTGTGTGTGAGTGTGAGTGTGTGTGTGAGTGTGTGTGAGTGTGTGTGTGTGCGTGTGCGTGAGTGTATGTGTGCATGTGAGTGTCTGTGTGTGCATGTGTGTGTGAGTGTGAGTGAGTGTGAGTGTCTGTGTGCGTGTGTCTGTGTGTGCATGTGTGTGTGAGTGTGTGTGAGTGAGTGTGTGTGAGTGTGAGTGTCTGTGTGTGTGTGTGAGTGTGTGTGTGTATGTTGGAGAACAGTTTTCCTCCCTGGCGTCAGGATCACCCGTGAGGACAAGAGACCTATCTGGTGCTGGGTCTTTGAAAGAGAATTTCTTTCTAACTAAAGGTATTTGTACTGAATGGCTTCTTTGCAGTCAAACAGGACCTTGGTTCTTTTCACATAAACCTGCCTGTCGTTTGGTTCTGCTTGCAGGGCCAGGCCACAGCAGGCGTGCCTGGGAGAGGTGACACCTGCTATGTACCTGGTCTGTCCTGTCTGTCCTCTGCTCTCTTTGGGTTCTTGGAGGGTCAGAACAAAGTCACAGGTGTGGGGCCGGACCACCTGTGTTCACAGGGACTCTGCACGTACTGACCACGTAACCCTGAGGAAGTCCTGCCTGGCCCCCCCGACTCCGTTTTCCCACCTGCACACTGGCTGCGTGGCGAGGGCGTGGCTGGATCTGGAGAGCTCTGCAGGCCAGTGGGAGGGCAGGTGGGCCAGCTCAGCGCCCGGCCTGCACTGCACGGGCCTGCATGGCCCCGGAGCACTTTCTCCCCGGAAGACCAGCTGCTCCTCTGCGGGGCCCCCAGCTGAGCGCCCAGGACCTGTGCTCCACCCGCCTCCCTTCCGCTGCAGCTACAGGGGAGTCCTGCCTCTGAGGACAGGGGTGCCAGGTCCGTCTCACTGGCCTGCCTTCTGCGTCTCCGGCCAGGTGGGACTCCTGGTCACTCTGCCTAAGGAGGAGCCTTCAGGACTTGTCACGAGGTGGGTGAGGGGCAAGAAAAGGAGAAATAAGGCTCAGCAGCTGTGTTTGTGGTTTCAGAGTTTAAACTATGCCCTGTCTTCCCAGATACCACAAATATACCCCCTCATTTCCTTTCCTACCATTTAAAGGTAAACAGGGCCAAACCAAGGCAGAACTGTGATGGTCACCCAGTCAGTAGGGGCCTCCTCTTTCAGCATCCTTTGACCCTGGCCAAGGGGACCCTTCTATCACTTTGGCCACCAATATCCCCTCGCCTGTCCTTCGGGTCCTGGAGGGCTGACACCGGCCTCACTCCCCTGCTGAAGGCAGGCCCAGTGTCTTATCCACCCTGCCCTCTGCAGGGGCCTAGCCAACCCCAGGCCCTTGGTGCCTCTCCTGGCTGAACTGACAGGGCACCGGCCACCTTGCTGCCCTGCTGTTGCGGACTGTCAGCTCGGCCGAGCGCACACGGTGCCTGAGCCCTGTTGTTCTGGTGAGGAGTCAACGGCGATTTCCTGTCGCTGACTGGGCACCAAACAGAGTGGCTCTAGCGTCCCACTGGCTAAGGGCTGGCGTTAAGGGACTCGAGGGTTCAGGATGAATTATTAGAGTCATAAGGGGCATCCGATGTTAAAACAACAAAGGCTACAGATGGCGTAAACACATTCATATGTAAAACAGCCAAGATGTTCACAATGACTATCTCCAGATCGTGGGATAGAGTCGATTTTCACTTCCTTCGTTTCACTTTTCAGAACCCAATCGATATATTTATAGGTGAAGAAGTCATTACAAAATGAAATCAGTTGAAAATTAGACCAGGCCTTCTCCTTGGCAGGGCTGGGGGGTGGACGGTGAGCAGTTTCCACAGATAAGTGCTACTGGTCCAGCTCCGGGGTCCTGGGAGGCTCAGGACCCCGGCCCAGCCACCCCCGACTCCTCTCCCGTGTCCTCTACTTGACCAAAGCCTCCTGGCTGCTCTGCTCAGAGACCCTCAGACACATTTCCTACGCCCTCCTTTCAGGGTACGTGACTTTTCATATCCTGGTTCCCTGTCTGTCCTCCCCACTTTCTCCTCAGGCCCCGTGACAAAGTGGCCAATAGGGCCCATGCTCTTCATTCACAAAACCTCTGTCAGGAGGGACAGGGACAGTCGGGAAGCCGGCGGGAAAGCACGGAGCTCACCTGTCACCACTCCCACGCACGCCTGCTGTGGCCGGGCCCTGCGAGCAGAAGCGAACACGCAGTGTCAGGCTGCGTCGTCCCGCCACCACCCTTCCCCCGGCTGCCGGTTCTGCCTCCCGACGAGCTTCAGCTCAGCCTGGCTCCGCTCCTCAGCCTGGCCTCCCTGGAGTCGGCGACAAGCTCAGACAGCAATGGAGCGGCCCACGTGGGGTGCACAGCGCCATCTGGCCCAAAGTGGCAGGCTGCAGACCCTGGTCCGCCGCTGGCTGCCCTGAGCCGAGCAGGGGGCCTGGGTGGTGGGAAGTGAGAACCGGGCGAGGCCTTTCCTGCGTTTCCTCCCATGGGATTCACGGGCACGGGGACTGGGTTCTGTCGCCGCTCCTAAGGGTCCCCTGCCCCTCAGGAAGCCTGGAGCAAGGCCGTTCCCCCCTGGTCCGAGTTCCCACCAGTGGCGCAAGGAGAGCAGACCCTCTGAGCCCTCTTAGCTCTCCTGCGCCGTGACCCCAGCGTAGTTACCAGTGCGGCCTCTCCGCCTCGGCCAGCCCCGGGTCTGGAAGCTGGAAGAGAGAGGAGGTGTTAACCCTGCTCGGGAAGGCGGCACCGCCTGTCCTGGGGCCCCTCTCACTGACAAGGGAACCATGACCCGGAGAAGGTCAGGCTGCCCGTGCTGGTTCGCAGGGAGGGCGGAGCGCAGGCTCCCCGCAGCGCGTGGCCAGACGCAGACACCGCAGGTGTGTGTCCCTCGGAACAGAAAACGGGCAGCGGGGTTCACATTTCATCGTAACGCTCTGAGTATGCTACATAGAAACAAAAGACACTGCGTGACCGACCGTCCGCACTCCCACAGGAACTTAGTCTGTGCTGTGCCCCGGCCGGCACAGAAGCACCCCGAGGGCAGGCGTCTGTGTCCGCTCCGCTCTCCACCGTGTTCTGGAGCCTGGACCAGTGCCTGACGTGTCACAAGCACTCAATACATATTTGCTCAATAAATACTTTTTGAACGAACAAAAGAAGTTCCTGGAACCTGGACCAGTGCCTGACGTGTCATAAGCACTCAATACATATTTGCTCAATAAATACTTTTTGAACGAACAAAAGAAGTTCCTGGAACCTGGACCAGTGCCTGATGTGTCACAAGCACTCAATACATATTTGCTCAATAAATACTTTTTGAACGAACAAAAGAAGTTCCTGGAACCTGGACCAGTGCCTGATGTGTCACAAGCACTCAATACATATTTGCTCAATAAATACTTTTAGAACGAACAAAAGAAGTTCCTGATATTCCTCTTGGTGAGATGCTGGATGACACAGGACCCTCCCTGTTGGAGACGTGCCCTGGGTGGAGGGCTGGAGGTGAGGTCCTGGTAACCCAGCTGGTGACGGTTCCTTTGCAAGGTCCTAGGGGTGTTGGAATCCTGCCCAGTACACGGGAGCCCTTGTCAATGTTACTAATTTCAGAGATTTTCATTCCTGGAAGACGGTGTCTCCAGGTCTGGTGGTGGCAGCGGTACCCACCCAGCTCAGTGCCGGCTGGTCTGTAACACGGGGTCCCACCGCGGGAGCCCCGCCAGGAGGGCAGGCTGAGCACGGCATTCCTGTAACCGGAGGTCGAGTCCCGTACCCCAGGGACGGGGAACAAGTTAAATAAAAGTCCCACTAAAACGCCAGACGGGGATCATAACCAAAGATGCCAGCAGGTGAAGTCACCAGGGCTGAGGACCTGGGACAGCTCAGGCCGACCATGGGGTCGCTGAGCTCTTCCTAGGAACATGGTGGCTGGGCGGGGGGGGGGGTGAGGAAGGGAAGGAAGAGGGAGGAAGAGAAACAAGGCTCAGAGCGGGGGAAGAGCTCAGTGAGAAGGGCTAACCCAGCCAACTCCTGCGTCTCCACCGTGCCCGCGCCAGGCATGGCCTCCCGCACCCTCCCTGGTCAATGCCGGCTGCATGGCGGGTGCTGTGCGTGGCGCTGGAGACGCAGAGCGAGTCTGACACAGGCCTTGCCTTCGAGTTTGACAGAGTGGATCGTACCCTCCCGGCATGGAGAAGTGTCTGCGACACTTAGTTACGCAAAAAAAAAAAGTCACAGACGGTATATTACAGTATGACCTTATTTAGGTTACACACACACACACACACACACACACATACACACACACACACACGACTTCTTTCCCACCCTCTTCCTTCCCACCAAATGTGCGTGCATGTGTATGCACATGTGTGCATGTGTGTGCGTGCGTGTGTGTGCACACATGCCCTGAGGCAGAGGAATAAATGTGAATGAGGTCTTCGATCTTTCACACTATGTGCATTTGTTGTGGTTGATTTTTCCTTATATTAAACAGGAATCACAAGTGTTAGATTGAAAACAATTTTTGCAAATATGCACAAATCTGACATTTAAAGTTCCCGGAGGAACAGGGAGTCCAGAGAAGTTAGATAAACCAGTGCAGGCTCCGCTGGAGGTGTTCGTGCCTTGGGTGCAGAGCACCCCAAGAACTCAAAGCCAAGATTGCACTGTGCACGTTGGCCGTCTAAATCCAGCCTTACCTTTCCCCACAGGCTGAGCCCACAGGCTGAGCCCACAGGAGGCTGAGCCCACAGGAGGCTGAGCCCACAGGAGGCTGAGCCCACAGCAGGCTGAGCCCACAGAGGGCTGAGCTCACAGAGGGCTGAGCTCACAGCGGGCTGAGCTCACAGCAGGCTGAGCCCACAGCAAGCTGAGCTCACAGCAGGCTGAGCCCACAGCAGGCTGAGCCCACAGAGGGCTGAGCTCACAGAGGGCTGAGCCCACAGCAGGCTGAGCCCACAGCAGGCTGAGCCCACAGCAGGCTGAGTTCACAGCAGCCGCTCCCCGGGCAGGCAGACTTTCAGGTTTTACCCTGAAGGCTGAGGTGCCCGTCGGTGTCATGATAACGATTCTGGGCTGGGAGACCATCCTGGACTGAACCACCCCGCGTTCCAGCGCGAGGGCCTCAGGCTCCCAGGAGGAGAAAGGATGCGCTGAGTGACAGGCGAGAGCTGGGGTCTGAATTATTCATGAACAAGGAGCTCTCTGAGCTGGGACCAAAGCGTGGGACTCATTCATCAGTTCAACTCTGGAAACCTGACTTGGGATGGAGATTTTCCTAGTGAATTTCCTGCCCAGAGTGGAAGACTACATGTCCTGCGTTCCCCACAGGTGTCACACATTCCGGGCTCTGGAATGTGACCATCAGCATGCAGGACGCTGGGCTCAGCAAGTCCCTGTGCTATCTGTGACATGAAACCTCTCCTCATTTACTCCCCCTCCCTGTCACAGCCTCCCAGCAGGAAACCTCCACCGGCACCCTGGTCCACACACACGCGCGCACACGCACACGCACACGCACACGCGCAGCTTTGCCCACAGCAGCACAGCTAAAGGAGAACGAGGATGGGAGCTCTGCCTGCCAGTTTCCCTGGTTTCTCCTGTGAAGTCTTGTACTTTGCACACAGCTGCCCCTGTGCACAGGGTAGTGGGCTGGGGCCTGCAGCGAGGTGACAGGCTGGGCCAGGGGAGGGGCTGAGGTCGCTGGGACCACAGACTGCAGCAGGGACGGGGAGGGACACTGGAAAGGAGATGGGTCAGCAGAGGTGGGAAGAAGACACTGTAGAGAGAAGAAGGCCCTAGTTCAGGTGTGGGAGGTACAGCAGGGCTCTGGGAAGTGGTCTGTCCAGCTGGGGGGCACTTGCACTGGGGGGGTGGGGGTGGCAGGGCTGTGGGCTTTTACTAAGACCAGAGCAGGGCATTGTGGAAAGCCAGGGGGCGGACCACACGGGCATTCACTCTGCCCTCCAGCCTTCTCTCCAGACGCCTCTCTCTTTCTGTTCATTCCTTTCTCTCCATCTTCCTCTTCTTATTACTTTCTTTCTCCTTCTGACCGTGTAAAATACACCACTTAAAATGTATTAGCGAGGATGGATATATTTTTTAAAATTTACCAAACAGATAAGGGCATTTTTAAAAATCTCATAAATAAAATGTTAAAGAGATTATTTTTAAAATTCTGTGTGATCTTTGACTTAATTTATCAATAAGTTTAACTTATTAATAAGAAACTGCAAACGTTTCTCAACCTGAACATAAAGAGAGGCATTGATTTGATTAAAGAAAAAAAAAAAAGACTCAGAACCCCCTCTTCTTTAGGATTTCTCCAACTTAGAGAATAACCCTTCCACCAAAATGAAACATTCTGCCTGGTTACCAGAAGCTCACTCACAGGGCCACCAACTCCAACCTGCCTCCCACCCCCACTTGCTTGGAATACTCACCGTTTCCACGTTGCCAATGGCTGCCACAAATTTAATATCAGAAGGTCTCAGAGAGTGGACTGCAAAGACAAGAATCCAGGTAAGAAGGCCAGGTCTACGTCCCCCACAATGTGGGCCAAAGACCCCAAATGGGAGGGGCAGATGCATGTCGCCCAGTCAGAGGCCAGCCGCTACAGTTGAGTCTTGGGCTCTGGCAGAGCAGAGCTGAAGACCAAGCGGTTGCTGGGAGCCCCAGGAACCACCCAAAAGAGGCTCCCTCCTCTCTAGATGCCACATTCTTCACTGAGCGCAAGACCTCCAAAAGGTGTCCCACCGAAGGTCGCGTACGGGCCTCGTTTTCCCCTCACCTATCCCATGGCTCTGTATTTCTGGACCACCATTGATAAAAGGGCAGAAAATTAAAGTGAAAACCACCCGTGTACACAAAGGATCACACTGGCTTGCAGACTGCCAAGCAGCACTCCAAACCTACGCGCACACGTAGCATCAGACGCAAGCTGTGTGCAGACGGGACACCGGAAGCCTCCTGGCCCGCCTGACCACCAGCGGGTTTGGAATTCGGTCTCCCCAGACACCGCTGGCACACTCCCTGGTCATGTTATGGCTCCCAACGAAGCCATTTCCTAAGAAGGGCATTGGTTTCTTTTCCTACCTGCACTCCTGAAATAACAGCTCCCATAACACTGTCTGCCCACCTGGAGGTGAGCACTCCGGAGGCCGCCCTCATCGGCCAAGCCACTGCGGGCCATGTGGGTTTTATCTCTGACTGGTGTGTCGTCTGTGTCCCACCATAGGAAGAAATGGGGGCGGGGGTGAGGGACTAAGGATGGGAAAGAGGAAAGACTCGAACGGCGATAAGGTACAAGCAAAGTAGGGCTGGAGCCTCTGCCGGCCACACCGGGGTCATGGCTCAGGGGTCGCATACCTGACTGAGAAGGCGTGTTGGATCCTGACGTCTTTGGGTTGCACAGGAAGGGAACATTCTTCGGGCTCTGCAACTGAAACCAAACATCAGAAACATCAACTGCCTTGAACGGAAATACTGCAGGTCCTGAAAGGCTGGTGTAGAAATGACCATGACCTTGTTCTATCTAGGCTCAAAGTCCAGAAACGACAGTCGTCCACAGTCATGGTCTTACTAATCCCATACCCAGTTTCCCTAGTACAAGGTGACATGTGTCTTTTGACAATGATTTCAGCAGGTGGCGGGCAGGGATGCCTCCAAACAGTGGGATGGAGACAAAGGGAGAATAAAATCAGTTCTTGGGAGGATGGCGACGTTCTGGAGGTGGACAGCAAGGATGGTTGCACAGCAATGTCATGCCAATGGATCATACATTCAAAATGATCAAAATGGTGAATTTTATGATACATACATTTACCACAATAAAAAAAATTTTAAAAAAATAAGAAGAGACCCAGTGCTAAAAGATTTTTTAAAAATCCATCTATGCTATGTCTCTTTGTATTATCTAGTTTCTCTTTTTCGATTATTTACACAAAAGCAGGTATTTGAGGCATTATGTTCACGTGCTGCTGGAAACCGGGTAAACTTGAAACTGGAGAATTGTGTCTCCACCAGACTGGCGTGTCCTAAGCCCCGAGGGCTGCTGAAGCAGAGGGGGACCGGGTGGCCGGCGCGCAGGTCCTCAAGCCCACCCGGGCCTCCTGGGACACTCGCGGGAATCCAGAGCAGCCTCTGCTTCTGGGAAGCACATGAGGGGCTTTGGGAAGGCAGGTCCTAGGTTTTCTCCCCAGGACTGAGATTGGAAGAGGAAATACAGCAGGTCCTTAAATAAAGTCCTTTCATTCAACTTCTAACCTTGATGAGATGCCATAGAAACTTAACTCTCGTCTATAGCAATTAGTCTACGGTAAAACTGGGTTCATCACAGGTCATTTCACCGCAGTTTCAAGAACCTATCAACAACACTAGGTAAGGACTCACTGTACTCCAACAGGGGAAATCACACAGTAAATGAGTTCCTGACCATAGCTCTCACTAATTCCTCTTGAATTACTGATTGCAATAAAAGATAAAGCATTTACTTTCAACTCTTTATCTTGTGGATGTTCTGGGAAGACCTCATCCAGATGCCTTCAGATAACTCACAGCATCTGCTTCAAGGTTCATACAGTTATCAACCCATTTATAACTCTTTCTGGACACTTCTGGGAACCACCCACTCAGTCAGCGGGAGTGATGAGCCCCAGATTCCAGGAGATACAGTCATGCTGCCCCTGTCCTGCCAGGCAGCTAGGCTATCCCTGGGGGAAGCAGCTCATGTAGCCCATTCTCTCAAGGAAGGGACCTGCCAACTTGCATCAAGACTTGGATATACCCACTGGAAGAGACCCCACCACCCCTTCAGTGAGGAGAAAGCCCTCACCTCTGGCCATAGCTGCTCTTCCAATGTATTCTCTTCCGGAAAGGTATGGACTTGGGTGGTCCCTAAAATAAAGTGAAAATAGTTCAGGTTATTTAGCTGGAATTAACGCCCACCCAGATTTGTACATTTGCTGCCCTTCCTCCCAGCCCTAGCTATGTGACCATCTCAGTAACATCCCTCTTGTTAGGAGAGTCTAGATTCCACTTGTCCAACTATCCACTCCACTGTTTGGAACATCACACTTCCATTAAAGCAGAATCCCCAGGTTGAAAAGTAAAAGTTATCTGAGAGGGGTCAGCAATAACCCTATACCATGCAGAGGCACCTCAATGCAGATTCCTTTATTGGTTCCTTGGCAAAGAGCAGAACTCTCGAGGAAGGTCATGTTGGGCAAATGGCTGTTGTTGTTTGGGGAGCCAGGACAAAGCAGGGGAGGTGAAGGACATTCTGGAATAGTCTGATGAGTGGTGTCAGCTTAACAGAAGAGCTATTTATGGGATTCCCAGCAGCCATGACTATACATAATGGCTGGACAAGGACTGTCTCAAGGGGTCTTGCCGAATGTAGGTGAAAAGGGAGAAGAGGCAGGTAGGGACACAGCAAAGACACTATCCTCATCCCAGTTCATAGTTTACATTCATTATTATTCTGTATTAGTTTCAGGTGTACAGCACCGTGGTCAGAACACTATGTACTTTATAGAGTGGTCCCCCCAACACTTCAAGTACCCACCTGGTCCCATACATAGTTATTATAAGATTATTGACTAATTTACATCTCTGTGACTATTCTGCAACTACCAATTTGTGCTTCTTAAGCCCTTCATTTTTTTTTTTATCCCCACCTGAGGACATTTCATTTTTCCATTTTTTTTCAGATAGAGTGGGAGGGGGAGAGAGAGAGAGAGAAACATTGACGTAAAAGGGACACATCGAGTGGCTGCCTCCCGCACGACCCAACCAGGGCCGGGGACAAACTGCAACAGAGGCACGTGCCCTTTGTGGGAACCGAACCCGGGTCTCTCTGGACCGCAGGCCGACGCTCCAACTGCTGAGCCAAACTGTCCAGGGCCCTTCATCTTTTTTATCCAGCCTCCCAACCTCTCTGTCAATCCAGTCTGTTCTTTATATCTACAAATCTGATTCTATTTTGTTTATTTTGGTCTTTAGATTCCACATGTAAGTGAAATCAAATGGTATTTGTCTTTGCCTTACTTATTTCACTTAGCATAATACTCTCTAGGTCCATCCATGATGTCGTAAGAGGTTAGATTCCATGCTTTTTTATCACGAGTAGTATTCCATTATGTATATTTATCATAGCTGCAGTCTGATTCCAGATTAGATTAAGGTGATCTGCTTCTACCCAACTGTCTGCCAAAAGCAAAAATAAAGTCTTTATGGAAGAAGACAGCACCACCCAGAACATGAAATTATCTTTCTACTTTTTCATATATGATACCAATCATTTAATAATAAAAAATAATTACCGGGAGACAACACGTAATAAACAGAAACCAAGAGAGGAAAAAAGAAAAACAAAAGACAACGGAGAGTGAAACGTGGTGGACTAACGTGGGAATAAACGGGTAACATCTGCAGCTTTGTTCTCGTTCCCTGTTTGGGATAGAGGGACCCAATCAGATATTTAGTGGGGGAGCCCAGGCAATGAGAAGGGCTGAGATATGCTCTTCACATATTCCAGGTTGACTGGAAGTCTATGCATGTGGAGGAGAGACCCGCAAGAGCCCCATGTAAAAGGAAAGGAAAGAGAAACTGGCTGCAACTATGTGTTTATTTTCCAAACCACAGACCAATAAACAGAGCTTTACAAACTCTCAGTGTTTGAGCACGACCTCTCTCCAACTCATTGGCTGCTCACTAAACCATGCAGACCCAGGCATGACCCCCTAGGATTCCAGGTTAAAAAAAAAAAGCCCAAGAAATAAAACAAAAACTGAGCAAAGACAGCAGTGGCTGCATACAGTGAGGGAGACAAATTCTACAGTTTAAGTCCGGGCAATTTAATAAGAAATAAACCAATGGCTCTCAGAAAAATAAAGCAGAGTACAGAATTGCTAAATTTTATCAAATATGCCCAGTTAGCAACCAAAAGTTACTAGAAATGTCTGAAACCTAAAAAGTTAGTTTTGTACTCAGGAAAAAAGCAATGAATGGAAACTGGTTCTGAATGGGCTCAGATGTTGCATTTTGCAGGCTTAGTCTTCAAAGAAGTCATACACACACACACACACACACACACACACACATATATTCACAGAATTAAAGAAATTATGTTCAAAGAAATATAGAAAATCATGTAGACTAAAGACTCAATAAATAGAAGAGCTATATCTTCTTTTATGTATATTTATATAGTTATATATTTATAACAAATTCCAGAGTTTAGAAGTACAATAACTGAAAGATTTACTAGATGGGCTCGACAACAGACTTAAGATGGCAGAAAAAAGAATCTATAAACTTAAAGATAGATCAACAGAAAGTACATTTCTGAAAAAGACAGAGGGAAAAAGGCTGAAGAAAGATAAACAAGACCTCAGAGATCTGTGCACACTGTCAAGCATACAAACATACAGGTAATGAGTCCTGGAAGAATGAGAGAGAAAGAGAAAAATATTTGACGAGATAATGACCGAAAACTTCTCACATTTGATTAGAAGTACTGAGCCACAGATAGAAGAAACTGGAGGGGAAAAAAACCTTCAGTAGGAAAAACACAAAGAGAATTTTACCAAGATATATCAACTATAATAATCAATGTGTCTAGGTGTAGTTCTGAAGCCAAGGGGAAAACAATCTGGAAACTAGCAGAAGAAAAACAACTTTTCACATGCATGAGACCAACATTACAATTAATGGCTGACTCATCATCAGAAACAAGGAGGTCAGAGACGGTGAAATGACACAGTCAAAATGCTAAGAAAGCCCAGCATGTGTGGCTCAGGGGTTGAGTGCCGACCCATGCACCAAGAGGTCACTGGTTCGATTCCCAGTCAGGGCACATACCCAGGTTGTGGGCCCGATCCCCAGTGGGGGGCATGCAGGAGGTGGATAATCGATGTTCTCTCTCATGGACGTTTCTATCTCTCCCTCCTTTCCTCTCCTTCCTTTCTCTCTCTCCAATATCAGTACGAAAAGAAAATTAATAAAATGCTAAGAAAATAATGGTTCTAGAGTGAAACATGGTAATATAAGAAGGAATGAAGTACAGAAAGAATAAATAAGTAGGTAAATCCAAAATTATATTGACCGTAAAAAACAGAAGCCAGAAAACTATGGCCCATAAGTCAACTCTGCCCACAGCCTATTCTCGTATGGCTCTCTAGATAAGAAAGACTTTGACATATTCAAAGAGTTTTTCTTTGTGGGGGTTGGGGGAGAGACAAAAAAGAATATATACTAGAAACTATATATGATCCACAAAAACCTAAAATATTTACCAGTCGGCCCTTTACAATAAAAGCTTGCCAATACCAATAAAAATAATGTAGTATGAAGTTGAAAATATATGTAACGTTGCTGTGTGGGCATATTTGGCTGGAGTAAATGGAGTTACACTGATATTAGACTTTAATAAGTCAAGGATGCATGTTGTAATCTTAAATGCCAAAATAACAAAAAATGTATAATCAGCAAGCTAATGTTGGGCAGGAGTGGAACTGAAGGAAAAAAGAAAGAACGGAGAAAAGATCATAGGTAGGACACATTGAAAGTATTAAATAGTCAGATGTCATATTTAAACACACTTGGAAAAACCAGAAAAGAGATGCTGAGGGGAGATGTATAAGAACTTCCTTCATTATCTAAAGGGCTGGATGCCAGGGGACTGGCCCGGTTCCTTGTAACCCACCCCCAACGAGGACTAGACCAGTGGGCAGAGGGGCTCTTTGGTAGAACAGCCAGAGCTACCTGACCAAGAGTGGGCCACCAGGGCACTGGTCCAAGCAGAGGCTGGGATCACACAAGCAGTGGCACACATACTTGGCAGATGTTAAGAGCCTGGACACCCTTGGTCGGACCCCTCTCTCCATGCTTCTGTTTCCTAAGCTGGAAGATGAAGCTGATGATACCAGCCTCGTGGAGATGCCACGTGGATTAAATGCGTGACAACACAAAGCACGGTATCTGACATGTGGTAAAGGTCCAGTAATTGGTAGTTATGATTATTATAACTTCAAGGCCAGAGAGACGGTGAGCACAGACCATTTCTCAGACCCTTCCAGGCTCCAGATTCTGGGAATTCCTCATAGAACTAGAGTTCGTTTTCAACGTGAAGGTCTGAGTCATCCATGATAACGACTCTGGGGTGTCACAAAGAGGTGCTGCCTAGAATCTAAACGTTAAATGTCCAGACCTGAGACCCACATGGAAACCAGGACCCCTCGGTCCTGCCCCGCTGATCCGTGGAGTGACACGGGCCGTCACTCCAGTCCTCTGCTCTCCTCCAGGTAAATGGAAGACAGCTTCTTGCTATTCCCGCAGTGCGCTGAGGCGTTGTGGAAAAAACTGTCAAAGCACTTGTGACAGGATTGAACCCCAGTCACGAATCCCAAGGGAATGTTTTCTCTTTTGGGTGGTTGTTTTAGCCTCAAGGCCATTGATCTATGAGAGGCTTAGAGATCCCCGAAAAAGTCCCACCTCAATGAGGTCAGTAAGGGGAAAAAAACATGTACTTTTCCACTCAGATGGTAATGGAAGAGAAAGACATCTGTATGCACACTGAGAAACAGGCTTGGCTGAGGTCGGTCACCCACACTGGACACGGCCATTGCCACTGGGGGCCCGGGGCTGACAGACGGCCATTAGCACATGGGGCCTTGGCTCCCTGAAGCCACACCCAACTCTCCCTCAGGGAAGTACCTTCTGGAGCAGCGACCATCAGCCCATCACCTGCTGCGTAGCCCCACGACACAGGGGTGCGGCCTGGGTGCCCTGGGAACCAGCGGTTGCTACAAGCCCCTGTGAGTGTCTTGTTCATGTACTTCTGTATCTGAGAGCCCTGACTCCTCAAAGAAACTTGAAGTGTGTTAGCCCAACAA